GGCCTGATGAAGTCAGACACTTGTCTGACACGCTCTATATGCAGTTGCTTCTAGACACATGGGTTGAGTTAAGTGTGCTGTTTCAGCCTGTACTCATTACTTCTTAACTTTTATTGGCTCATGTCTCCACTTCTATACTATTTTTTTAATTAAATTTCCTTTCTATAATACCGGTGGATAGCAAAAAAAAAAATATACAACTATTTCATCAAGTTACTGAACAGCTGACCATGAACTTATAAAAGTGCATTTCTGAACCAGGCTTTTCTGTTTTAGCCAAAGTAGGAATAATTCTAATACTCTACACATTCATCTGTTGTGTGTTTTACAAGGGGCTTTCACATTTTTAATGTCATTTAATCCCCATAACCTTGATGTGAAGTAGGTTTTCACAAGAGGCAAGTTTAGGGGACTTGCTCAAGCTTATACAAAAGGGAACACAGATTCAAATCCAACTGCTCCAAATCCAAGTCCAATACTCTTTCTCCTCTCCTGCAAGGCTTATGCTAGAAATCAGAACAGGAAGGAGCAGGGAGAAAATCAATACATTCTAGTGTGTTTTCCTCATTTGAAGTGGGAGAAGGTGATTTCTGGTCCACAAGGTCAACTTGTTCTCTCAACTATTGAAAATGAAGTGTGGTGACTGTCACATTGTGTATTTCTTCATGTTTTGAAAATTGGGATGATCTTGTGTTCTATTCCGGCTTCATTAAGCTAAAGGGCCTGGTAATTTAACCACTCTGGTATTTCACAAAGCTCTATCAGCCCACTTCTGCCAAAAGCCATTAGAATTTCTCATGACAACTGGGTAAATAGTCTCCCTGTCTATCAAAAACAACCTCAGCTTGTCCTGTGCCATAACCCATAACATTTATAAACACACTTATTAACACATACAGGAAATGACACAATAAGAGCCACTAGCTTTGCAGTTCATTTCTTTTTAGGGGACATGCATTCCAGCAAGAGCCTGGCATCAGATGTTATTTGCTAAAAAAGGTGATGACTTTGCAATTACAGGTAGCAGATGGATACCTGCTGAAAATGATGCCAACCAAAATATCATGACTAAATCTGCTCTTTCTGTTGTATGGTAGACCAAATTGAATAAATACTCAGAATCAGTAAATTAATACTATATAACCTTTGGGAAAATTTTTGTTCTAGAAAGAGCAATGGAGTGAGGGCATGTGGCTTTTGTGTGACTTGAGAAAATCAACAGACTTTTCTGGCCTTTGATTCCCTAAGCTGAAATCAGTGTTTTGTCCTTCCAGTGATGCATTCAAGAAAATAAATTTAGCAAATGAATAACAGTCATGTCATATGGGTGAGAAGCTAATTTTCTTTAAGTTTCTGATCACTTTTTTCAATATCAATCTAGAGCTAAAGGCAGTCATCCTATTGAAAAGTAACCTAATGTGTAGTACTAGTTCTGTAAGGTTGTTACACTAATACTAATATTAACTCTCAGGCACACACTTTAATTCCCATCAGTAAAGTAAGTTTTACATCCAGTTAGGTAGACAGGAATTTCAAGAAATGGTGATGCAACCTACATTACCGTTTACCCAAGTTGATTTAGAAACATAATGTCCCTAAAATTTCAAAAGGTGTGGTAAGTTATGTTTAATTGATTACATTTTGGAACAAAATAATTACCATAATGGCATTCTGCTACTATAGCTAAAATCATCAAAACATATTTAGCTTCTGCTATAACTACTTATAATGTTAGAATATTTATTATTCTAAGTTATACACACCTGAACATTATCAAGAAATACCAGTTTGGGATTACTATATTTCACTTGTTTAAGTACATGTTTGAACATTAAAAAATTCACTTGCCATATATATGTAACAATATATGTTCAAGTCTTCCCTCGGGTTTCTGTTTACTACATGTCACTGATAAGAATACTTTAAGAAAGTACTTCTTAGTTAATTATAAATGCAGAAACCATGATTTTTTTTCTTTTCCATCATATCCTATAAGTAAGTGATTTTATTTTTGTTTCTAATACGTAAGTGGCCAATAGAAGTATATCTTGAGGTATCCATCTAAATAATAAAGATGTATACTGAATCTTCTGAAAAATGTTTGGGAAAATGAGCTCAAGTCAAGTTTTTCATTAGTATGAGCTTCTGATGTAAGGAAGACATCTTACCTTCCACTCAGAGATGAAAAGAAGGGCACTACGTGTATTCCCAAGGGGCCTCCTTCCCCAGATAGCTCCACTGTTCTTGTCATATCACTGGGGCAGAAAAAAAAGTAAGAGTACACATGAGTCTCTGCTGAAACAGAAACAAAACAAAAAGCCAGCTGTGGCACAGTAAAAAACACCAAACAAAAAGTTTAGGATTATAACAACTACTGCAAATTCAACAGCAGAGATGAAATCAAAGGGGTACGTGATTTGCTGGTATGTCGCAGAAGATCCAGGAAATAAAATGTTTAAAAGACTATCTGATTTCTTATTTTTTCTCCTAGAAGAGGAACAAATGGAAATGACTACCTACAAAAATAACTTCCTACTTAACTTAATCTGCATAAATCAACATATTTAAAAATGATGTACACAAAATGAAATTTCTCCCCACTGAGATACACTTGAAAATGACTGTATAGATGGCAAAATACATGGAATTAAGCATATCTATGCTTAAGCATAAAGTAGCATTTATACCCCAGAACAGAGAAAAAAAAATGAAATAAAATATGTATTTATTAGAAAAAGCACAGAATTACATTTTAAACAACTGTGAAGCCACAGTTGGTGGTACATATGGGCATGCTCAAAGCATTATAAATCAAAACTCAAACTTTCCTTTCAATGAGGCATCAGTTGTATTCAGTGGAACAATTCCAAATTTTCACCTATTTTTTTTTTCAGAGGTAGAAAAAAAGTTGCAAAGCTTGGAGAAAATATATTACAGAAAGAAATAGAAAGTCTGACCTGCCTAACCTACTCCAGATTAAGGAAAGGATGAGCTAGAGACATTAATGGATAGTGTGTATGACTGAAACATCCAAGGCATTGGGAGCTCTGGAGTAATAGAAAGTAAAACTAACAAGTTTTTATAAAGATGAAAAATAATAACCATGAACAATTATTGGCTCCTTTAATCCTGGAGAGAGAAAATAAAATTGCCAGAGGAAAAATGATAAAGTTGAAGCAAACATCCCTATTATGGAAATTGTAGGCAGGTCTCTCTTGTTTTCTATTTACATGAAAATGACCTGAAACTAGATGTCAAATTAAGAGCTACAGCTGCTACCAATGCCTCTCTGTTCCAAATTGAAAATGGGGAAATTGTGGCTCCTTGCTGGAAAGTTGAGAACAGCATTAAGAAAACAAGATGCCTGATGAATTCACTCCGCATGAAGTATTCCCTAAATTATCAGCAATCTAAAATAAATACATTAAATATATTCTCATCAGTGGATTAGGCTTATTTTTAATGTGTTTTCATTGCAAACCTATTATCATTAAGAACTGCAAAAAAGAGCATGTCAGTTTCCAACATTTGTGGAACATGATGGAATTTCAAACTGATAATAAATTTCAAATGAGTTTTGCTCAGATATTGCTGATATATTTAAAACTTGTTCAGTCAAGCAGGTTATATCAGAGGCCTGGAATAAAAGTTAGAAACAAAATAAATCTTAAGAGTGTTGGCATCATGGGATAAAATAGGTTCCTCTCTATACTTTCTGTGTGAGCATAAAGACACCATTTGAATATATGCATATGAAGTAGACTATATAGGTATGCATTATAAGTCCTGAAGATAAGATGTTTGGTGGGAAGAGAAAGTTGTATAGCTTTCAATGGACCACAAAGCAATCATGTTTATATAATAACAGATTTGTAGTTCATTCATAGGTATTTGAGGAAGACTAAACCCAAAGCATTCACATTCCAAGGTTACGATATTACTTTAAAGACTTCTAAAGACAAGAGACTAAAATCTTGTTTAACCATTGAAACTTTATTATCTCTATCTCTATAATGTATTTTTACAGTTTTGTACTTAAAGGATGACATAAATTTCTCCTAATAAATGTATTAAATATCCACATGCTGATAGAACATTCACGTGTATTATTTAGAGGCTTTGGAATATAAGTATTCAGTATAGACTACAAGATTTCAGCTTAAAAATTTTTAGAATGGCTTTATAGATTCTCTTTTTTTTTTCTAGTTTGCAAATATTTCTTTATCTCACTCAAAACTCCTGTAAAACATAATAAATTCTATGTGTCATACTGATACCTACTCTTCAGTAATCATCAATCTTGTATTTTTACATTCACTGAATAAAATAAATCTTCTAATTTGTTAAATCAATTTTATTTCAAAATACTGAAACTTTTTTGGGGGGTTGCAGTATTAAGGTTTATTTCAACTCTGTCAGATTCCTTTTCTTCAGTATTTCAGAATAAACTTTTATGCAGTCTTTGTGACAATCACAATTTTTTGGCTAGAAAGATATTTGACAAATGTTAAACTACTGTGACAAAAATATTATTATCCTAGGCAAAAAGCATAAAAGACTTTCAATTTTGTTGACTGTAATATGCAAACACTTAGAGAATTAGATTTATTTAATATAGCATTACACATTTTACAGACTATGCTTTACCATGCTCTTTATAAATTGTTATTTGTTTCAAGATGGAAAGAAAGGCATTTGAAAAAGGAAGCCTCATAGACCAGTTCATATATTTTTATTTATTTTACAAGGGGACAAAACCACTCGGTGTTATATATACTAATGTGGCTCTGTAGAAATCTCTGTATATACACCCTTATGGAACACAGCAAGGAGGACTAGACACAATTATTTGAATACATAGCTCATAAAATGATATTTAACTAAGATGTGAAAATATGCATTGATGCTACTTGTTTAGGCAAACTGCAAAGCAGAGTTCAAGGACCAGTGAGCAGGATACGTACACATTTATTTATGCTTTGGAGGTGGACTGAGAATGGAAAATGTAGAGAATGAAGTGAGAAGGATATTCCAGCAGTGGAAAGAAAAAGGGGCTGGCAGCTACTTGTGAAAAACAGACTAAAAATGAACTATGGGGTGAAGGAAAAATACTTCAGTGACACAGAAAGAGTCAGGATTTCACTAAGCTCAAAATAACTAACTTTATACAACTTTCTAAGACATACTAAAACAAAAGCAGATAGTCACAAGACATTCGGTCCAATAGTCTTAAGCAACCTAAATGTTTAAGGTCCAACTGACAAAATTGATTCAAAGAATCACTGGAACCAGCTGCTACCTATCTCAGAGTTAAGGACAAAACTATGGGCAAAAGTGCAGAATCAGTGGTTTAAAATGAGCCTGCTGTGAACAGCTAGGTCAAGAACTAGATGGAAAGTGCTTCACTGGGTTCCTTCCAGAAGAAAGACATGGAGCTTGAGGGAGAGAACACACTTGGAGCTGCAGACGGATGGCCGTAGGTCTAATTCCTCCACACATGATGAATACACAGCGTCTTTAAGATTAGTCCACCCAGGGATAGGCCAGGGATAGGGTAAGGAAAAGATGGTACTGAGGGCGGGGGGCAGGGGTCTTGGAGGGGAAGACACTTTGTTTCAGAAGGAAATCATGGTTAACTTGGGAAATTAGAGAGACAGCATACCCTAGTAGTGGCTGTTAGTCGAGTGTCTGAGTCAAATCACTTAAACGAAGACCAAAAGTATCAGTTTCCTCACTGGGACAATGAAGGAATTAAGAAAAATGCCTAACAGAGGGATTGGTTTTAAAGAAAAAAATAGAGAACATTATACACATATGTCATACACACACTATCTGGGATATACAAAGGGCTGAGTAATACCAGCTATTAGCATGACTATTAGAATGTTCTGAGGGAACAAGCAAGCTTATGTATTAAAAGGGAATCATCTATTTCCAGCTTTCCAGCTTTTTCCAATCGATTTCTTCAGTAAGCATTTTTTTAGCCCTTAAATATGGTAGGACAGAGGAACATATTTCCTTCATAATTAAACTGCTGATAGAGAAAACACTGGGCTGTAACAGATGGAGAGAAGGTATGAGCTGGTGTTCTTTGGGGACTGATGGCCAGGACTGTCATATACAGCCATATGAGAGAGGGACTATAGAGAGAAACCTCCAAAAGAGCTTGTGGTTGACACTGAGGTCTACTGGATGGTGAAGTCTTGTTGATGTAACTATAATGAGTAAAACATCTAACAAAGAATTTGTTGGTGGTGGTAGTAGGATTCACTTAATGCACCTGAATTCAACATATATTTAATTGAGTCATCCCAGTGAAGAAGTTCTTCAAGGTAAAAACAAAGTCTAATGCTTGAAGAGTTCATAATCTAGGGGGGTAGATTAGACCAGGTAATGTAAAACAATACAAAGTAAGAGAACAGTAGCCGGAATTTTAGTATATTCTCAATGAATGGAAGCTATTTTGCAGAGACAGTATGTTAACCATCTTCTGGGCATTATAACAGTACTCACAACCAATGTACAAAGTAAATATATCACTTCCAGTTTACAAATTAGTAAACCGATGCTTAACAAGTTACATAGTTTGTCAAACATCACACCATTCATGTAAGGTAAAGTCAGGATTCAAACTGGAATTTATTGCTTTTTAGAGACATAGTTTTCAATCACTTTGACACTTGAATTTCAGAGCAGAGGTACTTTCTGATGAGGTTCAGAGGAAGAGGATACAGGATCGGGAAGGGGAGCTGGAATCAGAAAAATCTTCTCAAAGGAGTGGGATTTCAGAGGGAACTGAGAAGGGCAAATGGATCTTCAATCAGAAAAGCTGGGAAGAAGCTGGAGAGGCATGCATAGGAGAGAAAACTTCTCTGAGAGACTGAACCAGGATGGTTTGTGGACACGCTGATTGGATGTAATATTAAAGAGAGAAGGAAGGGGGAGGAAGGGAGGAGAAGAGAGGGGAAGATATTGAGGAGATAAGGTTGAACCATCATCTTGAGATCAAACCTCAGTGTGATATGTCAAACTCCAAAATGGAAAAAAAAAATCATGGTTAATTTTGTAGAAAATGGAATCATTATAGGTCTTGGAACTGAGGAGCACTGTGATAAATGTTGTGGTTTAGAAATATTTTACCTGGCAGGGATGTGCGGGATCAACTAGAAATGAGAAAGACAGAAATTGATACTTGAACAAGGAATTAGTAAATCATTGCAATAATGTCATCCAACAGGTAACAGGCTTGAGTAATGATTATAGCTACATATAAAGCATGAAAACATGGGGGAGATTCAAGGTACTGTGAGATGGACTCCGTCAATAATTTGCCAAATGAACAGATACCAGAGGCAAATGAGAAGATGGGATAAAAAATGGTAACAGTTTTAAGCCTGGGGAAAAAGGCAAGTCTGGAATAAGGTGAGGTCAGGAATGAGAGAGAAACTAGGCATGAGGTGAAGGTCTTTTGCACATATTACTTGCTATTTAAAGAGAACCTTAAGGTGTAATTTTGTTTTAAAAAAGAAACACCCAAGAGCAACCTCTTGCTTCACTGTCTTCTTAAGATCAAAGTAAACTGAGAAGAACTTCACAGGAGATGCGTCTTGTATGGCTATTTGGAGAACTCCCTCTAAATGTTATTTTTCCTTAAATATAAATATTTATGTTAATTATGGGTGAGCAGTTAACAGTTATGTTTTATGAAGCACTGTGTTTTATCCAGTTATCCATTCAACAAATATGCCACTATTATGTTCCAAGATCTGTATTAGGTTTCGGGAATCCGTTGGGGGAATCACAGTCTTGTTTGGGAAAATGACAAATAGTTATAATAAACTGTTGTACGTGTGATAATGACAATTGAAATAGCAATGAGTGTTTATCCAGTCTTTCATTTAGTATTATGCTAGTGCAACTGCCCGTTTTCCACAGGGGGAAAAAAAAAACACTTTAAAGAGGTTATATAATTAGTCCAAGGTTACACAGGTAGTGCTCAAACTCAGGACTTAAGTTTTAGAACTAAGGAATGCTCTGATAAATGCTGTGGTTTAAAAATTATCTAGTAGTGATACGTGGGATCAATTAGAAAAGGAGAGATTGATGCTCAGGAGAAGTTAGGTTATTACAGTAGTCTGACAGAAAAGTAACAAAGGCTTGAGCAATAACTATGGGAATTAAAACATCAGGACAGGTTCAAGACATTTCAAGATGGATTCTGTAACACGTTCCTTAGCTTCCATGCCACCTACATGGAAGTAAGCCCAGAGTTCTATTCTTGGACCACGCTCTCGGGGTGGTATCAGACCCTCCTTGCCCCAGGAGAAAAAGTGACCGCACAGCTCAGCAGTAAGTGGCTTCCTATTTTCCCTAGGGTGTGTCTTCCTCATCCCATATCAGCTAGAATCAATGTCCTCTCCTGGAACTGCAGTCTCTGAGCTTCCTGCACCCTACCCCCAGCTCTGCTTTCCACGCTGTTAAAATGCTTCGCATCCTTCTCCCACCCCGCATCTGCAAGTAACGGAGTTTGCACTCACTCTACTTTCTAAACTTGGCCTCAAACGTGGCGAGCACCAGTGAGGTTTCCTAGCCCTGGTAACACTGCATGAAATAAAACACCAAGGAATCAGGGAAGGTGTGCACAACAGGTAACGCCAGAGTCAGAGGACCTGGAGACAAGGGTGGTGGATATAGTTTGGGTCTCTAGAAGTCAATCATTCTGAGTCACACCTCCTTAGCCTGCTCAAGGTGCTAATAAAACTCATGCAAAAAGTCTGTTTTGATAATAAAATTACACATAAACACAGATGTATTTTAACTAAATAATAATATTTTAAAAAATTCTTATACTCCATTTCTTTGAACTCCTTATATCCAGAGAAAGTTTAGCTAATTTGTCCATGCAGCCATAAAGCAAACAACTGTTCACTCTCTAACAACTACCCACATAATACTTAGCCAAGATGTCAGCAAACTTTTCAAAAAGCTGACATTAAAATAAAGTGAAATGAAAGGCAAACAGAATTAAGAGTATTACATTCATTACACTTACCTCCCAAAACAGCCTTATCAAACTTCTAAAAAGAGAGTGCCCTGGAGATTTTCTCCACCAAATTTTTAATATTATGCAGCTCATTAATCAAAGAAACAATCTAAAGAATGAGTAACTATGCCATAGGGCCATAAATTATAAACTTAAGGACAATCCACGCAGTATAGCAGAGTGATAAAAGATGATCACATTTTTTTAAAGCTCATTTCACGTAACATGCTAGGCGCCTGTTACTAACTGGACTGAGTGAAAGGGGTACACTGACTCAGTGAATAAATGGATGACTGTCAGCCTGAGAATCATCACCTTCTAGTGCTGAAGACAACAATCTAGTAAATAGGAAATGACTTACACAAAATTTGAAGCAGCTTTAAAAATGATGATATTGACGATGATGCTAATAACAAGAGAGATGATGATGGTAACAGTATGAGCGGCGGCAGCAAGTACTCACAGGGCTTACTCTGACTCAGGCACTGTTCAAAGTGCTTTATATATGTTAAATAATTTCGTCCTCATCTCAGCCCTCTGAAGAAGGTTTCAACATTATTTCCATTTTACAGACCAGAAACCAAGGCAAAGACTGATGAGCAACCTGCCTAAGCTCCTAGACTAGTAAGCAGCAGTTGGGATTTGGACCCAGGGAGTAGCTAAGGATGAACTGGAAGTTAACACTGAGCAAAGGAAGTACCGGTAAACATGAGAACAGCTGACTTCCTATAATGAGTTACTTACATTAAAAACACGGAAAGTCCTGTTTGATAGGCTAGATTTATTTTATATACATAGGGTGAAATATTGCAAGATTGTTAAAAACACAATGCAAAGCAATGTTCAAAGAGCTAACGTCTAAGTAAAATACTCAACCACATGAACTCTGAAATGTTGTTCAAAGGGAAGAAAAAAGCAATTAAGAAATCCAGGTTGCAGAAGAGTTGGAAGGATTGAAGCTCATTTGTATATATGTTTGTCAAGAAGTTCTCCTATCATACAAAGAAAACAAGAGAAAAGAGTAATTAAGCAATTAATTTTAGAATTAGGTATCACTCTAGTATTCTATTTATCTTGATCTTTTCTCCTAAATAAAAACAACCATAAGCCATTAAAATACAAACATTAAATTGAATTAAAATATTCTTATTCACGTAAAGAAAGTACCTCAAGCCATCCATAGTTTTCGGCGACGTCAATATTTCCGTCTGTGCACCATTCATAACTTCTCCATCTTCTAAGTCCTGTGTGGAATTCTGCAGTGAAACAAACCCATAAACATGTGGATCCTATGTGTGTGGAATTGAAATTTTTGAATAAAATATCTCAACAGGAAAGAGTAAATGGTTTTACTCCGGATATATAGTGTGCTCCAATTTCTTTGAAGACTGGAAACAGGTGTTAATCTTTTCAGTGCTTTCAATATTCTTTTCTCTCCCATTTGGTTTCTGAAATACTCAAATGGGCCATTTACACAAGGCAATATGTTAAGAGCTTTGGAATACATCATTTAGCTTCCTGCTACTCAACCATAAGCTTTTGGGACTGAGTGTTTGAAATCAGCACGAAAAAGGGGGTCCAAAGGGAAGGTGCCATTGACAGGTGGTGATGTATTAGCTTTAATGTACTGTACTTGCTTGCACCCTCCCGGTGACACTAAAAATAAAAAGAAAGCAAAACCCATGAAAAAAAAAGTTGCCTAGCAAGGTCACGCCTGTCAAAAGTATAACAGGAATAGTGCAGGAAAAGAAATCTGGAGTTTTTGCTTTGTCTTAAGACTTTCATTTGAGGATGATCTTCAACAAAGAGAAACTAAAATTAACCATTTAATTTCTAAAATGATAAACACTTTTTTTCTTTTCAGTTTTATTAGGTAGAATTGTTACAGTTTGACTGCATATATACAATATATTGCATATAAATACATACAAACAATATACTGCATGTTTAAAAAGTTTATATATATGTACTGTTCATTGTTTCTAAGAATGTTTAGAGCTTTAGCTTTTTAAACTTACATAGTTGTCAAAGGAACAAAGCCAACAACAAAATAAGAATTAATTCAAAATGATACATACACCCCACTCCTAACAGCAACATTATTTATAATTGCCATGATATGGAAGCTTCCTAAGTGCACATCAATAGATGAATGGACAAAGAAGATGCAGCATAAATATGCAATGGAATACAACTCACCCATAAAAAAGGATATTTTGCCATTTGCAGCCCTTCATTCACTTTTTTCCCCCCACTTCAAAAACCAGAATTTTGTAACTGGTATAAATATTTCTATTGCAACAAAAACAACAAAATACCTAGAAATAACCAAGGAGGTTATCTACACTCTGAAAACTGTAAAACACTGATGAAGGAGATTGAAGATGATACAAAGAAATGGAAAGATATCTTGTGCTCTTGGATTGGAAGAATCACTATTATCAAAATGGCCATGCTACCCAAAGCAATCTACAGATCCAATGCAGCCCCTGTCAAAATACTCACATTTTTCACAGAACTAGATTAGAACAAACAATTCCAAAATTTATATGGAACTATAAAAGACCCTGAACTGCCAAAGCAATCTTTTCTAGGTCTTTCTTCTTTTTTTTTTTTTTTTAATGGTAAATATTCTTCTGCTTACAGAGAGGTTCTGCACTCCAGGACAAAGTTGAGTTGGATATGATGTAGAAGGAAGAATGGATTTGAAAAAGAAGCAATTCTCATTTACCTAAGACACTAATTCTCTGTTAGGCTTTCTTCTTTCTTTTTTTTTTTTTTTTCTTTCCCTTGATGGAGGCATTGGGGATTGAACCCAGGACCTTGTGCACGACTGAGCATCTCTACCACTGAGCTATACTGCCCACCCATCTCTGTTAGGCTTTGTAACTGGACTTTAACAGTCATTCTGCAGATACACCACTCTTCAGAAGCAGAGTCACAGGCAGTGCCAGCTAAGGATGCAGGCTTCACTGAAACAACACGTCACATGATGTTTCACGGCTCTAAATGCACCATTTCAACAAAACATTACAACACATGAGTTAAAAGGTTGGACATAAAGGAACTGGATTAATATTTTTAAAGAAAACAAGACACGCAGCCACAGCTCAAGCAGTTTGTCCTTGTAAATGATTTTAAAAATATATTTCATTTTTAGATTGAATAAGCTATTGAATGAGCAACATTTAACCTAGCTAAGTTGGTAGTTTTGTGAAGGACTTGATCTACATTAGATTTTTAGAAACTTACTCGTTTTCTCCTCTCCATGAGGATAAAGAAAGGGAAGAAAAATCAGAAGGTTAAAGAACACTTTTTAGTTTAAGGCATCAAATCTTAAAAGAATAGCATCTTTGAAAGCTTTCAAATATTCACATTGTTATGAAGGGCTTGATGCATGCTTACCAAGAAAAGACACAGGGTCAGGCAAGTTACAAAAATACTTACGTAGACAATTTAACAAAATATGTGAACTTGAAACTGTCACACATGTCAGAACATTTGATGACTGCATGTATGTCAAAATCGTTAACTTTCTCATCTCTCTCTCCCACACAAGAGGGGGCTCTCTGAAGGGTGAGGCTGTGTCTAGTCCTCTCTGTATTAAGTACATGATGCACAGAGCTCATTTAATGAATGTTAATGAATAAGTAAGCTGAATGGCACTGTATTAGTCTCCTAATGCTGTGCGATAAATTACCTCAAAATTAAATGGGTAAAAAAGTAAACACTATTTCTCAAAGTTTCTGTCGGAGATTTGGAAGTGGCTTAGCGGGGCAGTCCTGGGGTAGACAGTCTCATGGGGCAGCAGTCAAGGTATCAGCAGGGCAATAGCTGCAATCATCTCAAGGCTTGCCTGGAGCTCTAAGATCCACTATTTTTCTCTTATAAAAGCTTTATTAAGATATAATTTATATTACATTAAATTCACCCTTTCCAAAAGTACAACTCAGTCCTTTTTAACTTAGAGTTTTGCAACTGTCACCACTATCTAATTTTAGAACAATTTCAAAACCCACCAAAGAAACCCCCTACTCATTAGGCAGTGCTCCCCATTTCTCCTCCTTTCCACAGCCCCTGGCCATCATTAACCAACCTTCTTTCTCTAAGGATTTACCTATTCTGAACATTTTATATGAACAGAACCATAAGATACGTGGCTTCCATCATTCAGCATGACATTCCCAAGGCCCTTCCACGCTTGGCATGTATCAGTATTTCAATCCATTTGATGGCCAAATATTTCACTGTATGGACATACCACTTTCTCTTTACCACTGACCACTTGATGGGCATTTGGGTTGTTTCCACTTTTGCTGATTATGAATAATGTTGCTAAGAACACTTAGCTCTCCCATTCTATGGGCTGTGTTTTCACTTTCTTGATGGATCCTTTGAAGCACAAAAGTTTTTAACTTGAATGAATTTCAATTTATCTATTTTTTCTTTTGTTACTTGTGTTTTGGTTTTGTAGCTAAGAATTCATCTATTTTTTCTTTTGTTACTTGTGTTTTGGTGTTATAGCTAAGAAACACTGCCTAACACAAGGGCACAAAGACTTACTCCTGAATTTTTTTCTGAGAGTTTTATAATGTTAATTCTTATACTAGGCCTATTACCATTTTGACTTAATGTCTGTACATGGTGTGAGGTAGGGGATCCAACTTCATTCTTTGCGTGTGGATATTAAGTTGTGCCTGCACCATTTTTTGAAAAACCTCTTCTTTCCCCACTTAGGGGAAACTCCTTATCAAAACTCAACTGACCAAAAGTGCAAGGGTTTATTTCTGGACTCTCAATTTTATTCCATTGATCTATACTTGCAAACTTAAGCCAGTACTGTACAGTCTTAATTATTCTAGCTTTCTACTAAAAGTTTTGGAATCAGGAATTGAGAGTTCTCCAATTTTTTTTTTTAAAGTTTGTTTTGGCTCTTCTGGGTCCCTTGCATTTTCATATGAATTTTAGAATCCAAGAAACAACTTTTTGCAAAAACACCAACTGGCTTTTGATAAGGGTCACATTAAATCTGTAGACCAATTTAGAGAGTATTATCATCTTAACAATATAAAGTCTTCTAATCTATGAGCAGCTAACAGTGGCAGTTATTAAAATAAACATTCTCTTTGGTTTCATAATTGTGTATGGACATGTATCTTCACAACGTCAAAGAAAAAAATGGGATGTTTATTACAAGGTTTCAACTATCTATGTTTGACTATTTGGTCCCTACTCCAGCTGGAATTTTCTTGTTGATCCCATGCCAAAGTAAGAAAATATCGTATTTTCTGGTTCAAATCAACATTCTGCAAGGTTAAAAGGATTTTTTTTCTAGTTCTAGTTAGATAGTAAGTGTAGATTTTATTTATGTCAACAACATACTTAATGCTTCTAGTAAATGAAAATGTCAATTAGAATTTGAAAGCATTATTGGGCCAACTGCAATGTGATAATTTGCTCAAGGGTAATTCTGAACTGACTTTGGGTTTATAGCAATCATGTCAATACCTACAAACTTAAAGGACATACATTCACAGACTTCTA